TAGATCTTACTCATCTACTGTCTTTTAAATAGCTAAAACTGCATATAGGTACAGTGGCCAGCTCTTGGCTGGGGAATTCCTTGAGATTTGGGAATGGAACAGGGTTTGGGGAGGGGATGAACCTCAGTGTGGTATCATGCTATATAAAAAGGAAAAGGTAGAGGTTTCCCTTGCTCGAAAGCCAGTCGAATCCGACTCTAGGGTTGCGGTGCTCATCTGTGTTTCCAAGCCAAATCCGTTTCCAAGCCGAAGAGCCAGCGCTGTCCGAAGATGCTTCCGTGGTCATGTGGCCGGCATGACTAAACACCAAGGCGCATGGAACGCTGTTCCCTTCCCACCGAAGCAGTACCTATTTATCTACTTGCAATGTCTTGCTTTCGAACCGCTAGGTTGGCAGGAGATCATGCCATATACCACCCTCCAAAGCAGCCCTTGTCTCCAGGGGAACTGATATTTGTCATCTGGAGTTCATCTGTAATTCCAGCTCTCCAGGACCCTACCTGGAGGTTTGGAAACCTACCAATAGGCCCCCAGTTTTCAATTCACAACTCATTTCTGGGTGAAAAGGTTTGTCTCCCCTTGGTCCCAGTTGAAACTGGGGCCTCATACGGTGTCTCATCTGCTTTGAGATAAAGGTAAAGGTTCCCTTGCTCGAAATCCAGTCGAGTCCGACTCTTGGGTTGCGGTGCTCATCTCCGTTTCAAAGCCGAAGAGCCAGCGCTGTCCGAAGACGTTTCCGTGGTCATGTGGCCGGCATGACTAAACACCAAGGCGCACAGAACGCTGTTACCTTCCCACCGAAGCGGTACCTATTTATCTACCAGTACTTGCTATTTCTTGCTTTCGAACTGCTAGGTTGGCAGGAGCTGGAACTAGAGACGGGAGCTCACTCCATCATGCGGCACACTCGGGTCTCGAACTGCTGAACTACTGAACTACTGACCTTCCACAGCCTGCAGTTCAGCGCCTTAACCACTTGAGCCACCGCAGGGGGATGCTTTGAGATAGAACAGCTCAAATGGTTACTTTGCCCAGAGGGTGGATGGATGGGCAACCAAGACATGAGGCAGATTCCCAAACTGGTGATCCCGTTGGCAAAGACGATGTTCAATCGCCAGTTTCAAAGATTACAAAATCCCCCCTTCCCCCCCGGGGGACAGAAATTAGTTCTGTGAAAAGCAGCTGCGATTTGAAACTGTCGGCCAAAGCAATCTCCTCGTGTCAATTAACGACAGCGCTCGGCTTGGCTTTCCAAGAATGGAAAGTCTGGCTTGTGGTTTCTTCCCTCTGCCCTTTTGGGGTCCTTTCCCATATAAGGGTGTGTGTTTTTTTTTTTTAAAGGAATGGACCCATTATAAGTTTTGCAAGCCTTTTCATCCAGGCGGCAGTCTCTTCTGGATGCCTGTCAGTGAGGGGCAGATGGAGTTCATTACATTAGCTCACACAGCCAGAGAAAAACAATATGTCCAGACTTTGCAACGTGCCAACCCTGGGCGCACACGCAGCCGCTCCTGGCACGAGCTCTGCAGATACGGCCATGGCTGCCAGCATCGCCCAGAATGACATCACATCTCCAAATTCTTCTGCCTGTGAAACAGAAGATGGGAACGGCTTGAATGCAACCTTCCCTTCTCCTTCCCGCTCGGATTTGCAAGGCAAACTAATTGGTCTGCCGTTCCCAGCCGGCTCTATTGCACAGTTGAGTTGCATGGGTTCAGTTGGGAGGGAGGAGAATGCTGCCCTAAATAATCTGACATTCGGAAACAATTTGATTGCACTTGGGGTTTTTTTTGTTTTGTTTTTTGCAAAACCACACCTCTTCCAGTGTCTGCTGTTGGGAAAGACCCCCACCGGCTCGGCCTGCTTATGAAACTGCTTCCTTTCCTGGCACATATCCGGGCCCCATGCTGCTCCTCCCAAATCTCCTTTTGGCTTCAGCACCACACAGAGAGAGAGAGGGAGGGAGGG